TGTGGGTGATCTCCCCCTTCTATTACTCACCTCTCCTTAGATGTAGAGAAATGGAAATAATGTAAGCAGGAATAAATCAAAAATGTATTACTCCAGTACCACTTCCCTGAGTAAGGTTTGTCTTTTCCCTCTCCCAGAAGCACATCATGACAGTCCACTGACTAGCTACTACCAGCTCAGCCTTGACGTGTTGGCCTTGTGTCTGTTCAATGGAAGCTACTCAGCCACCAAAGTTGCTGAAATCTTCTCTCCTGAAAATAAAAACTTTTATTTACATGGCCAGTTCTCAGTAGGTGAGTCACTAAATCCAATTCCCTTGGTACAGAGGACATGATCATAAGCAAGTCTTACCCTTTGGGTTTTTCTACCAGTAAGTAATTGGATCATTTTTCCTCTTCTCTTCACCCCAAGTCCCCTCAGAAGAAAACTTTCTTTTGGAGAAGAATGGATAATGGGTGACCTTTAAGCCTCTTTCTAGATGTGTGGTATAATAGAAAGACCTAGTTCCTACCCCAGCTCTTCTTTGAGTTATATAGCCAATGGATGTTAACTCTTGATCCTAATTTGTAAAATGAGGATAGAGGATGAGAATATTCATATAAAAAATTTTAGGAAGTATAGGCTGTAGAGAAAAGAAATGTAGTGGAATTCATTTATCTTAACACTGCCTCTTTCTTTAATTTATTGGGACAATTTGAACATGTGGATTGACTTGAAAAATACAACTTCTCTGGTGACAAAGTCTGATATTTTAATCAATAAAGTATGGATTCATCTTGGAGAAGAACCAGAAATTTTTCACTGTGTCAGCTTAAACATCCAAAAAGAAGTCTCTAGACAGTTCAGCCCCTATTACTCCAAATGCACAAGCTCAACTTTCTCCAAGAAGTTACAAGCAAACCGCCATTCAGTATTTCTAGACAGTAAGGAGAAAGTGAGGTTTCCTGTACTCCTTTTCCTAGGAGAGAGGGAAGGCACCATGCTAAAGGACACAGGAGGAACCAAGTATCAAGCCAGAAAAAGAGCCCTTTTCCCAATCTCTTGCCTCATCCTCTCCCTTAAGGACATTTACTGGGTAAAAATTCTGTTAAGTACTATTTTCTAATGTCTTCTAAGGGAACTCTTAACAGCCTTGCAAAGACATATTTTGTTTGGTGCATCATCCCAGGTTTTCTCAATTCCTTTGCCAGTACGGCTGAAAGATTGGAGAAAGATGGAAAAGATGAGAGGAATTAGGATGTAAAAATGGAAGACTGTCCCTGTGTATGCACCTACAAATCCATAGGTGTTTTTATGACCCAGGTGTGAGGTATTAAGTATGAGGAACCTAGCAACTCAACATAGGTCGGGAATTTTGAAATATTTGCGTGGTTAGTTCTGGAGCAATGATCGTTGTATCTTGAAATCCTTCTCTCCCATCATCAATGAGCATGACCAACCATCCCAGTTTCTCCAGATCTGTCCTGCTTTCAGCACTAAAACCCTTCAGCCCAGGACAAATTCGGATGGTTGGTCACCCTGTCTACAACGTTCTGTGTCCTGACAGGTACTGGTGCGATGGCTGTCCTGGCTCTGACCTGCGTGAAAAGGAATCTAACTAATGCGCAGAGCAAAGCAGGTGAAAAGGACTTAGAGAGGATCAGTAATCATACAAAGTCACTGGTAAAGAAGATTCTGTCTCAGAAAAAAGAAAATGGTCTCCTTGGGAATGCATTCAGTACAGGAAACGCTATGCAGGTAAGTCAGCGGGCGAAGCGGGAGGCAGAGGAGAGTCGTGGAGGAAAGCCTTCTTATTGGCCTCCTGAGACCTTCTTATCCATTCTGTGCTTCCTGTAGCAACTTCGATTTTCTTCAAGTGATTCCCCTCCCTTGCCTGAAATGTATTCTTCTCACCTTCAACCTTTACCTCCCCATATCCAGTGCTCCTAGGAAGCTTTTCCTAATTACAATCTAAGAAATTCTAGACTCTACTGCAATCTGTCTTGTGCTATCATGTGTAATTTTACACTTTACCATATACACTAGCCCCCCTTACCCATGTTTTTTTTTCTTTTCACTGTTTCAATTACCTACAGTCAACCATGGTCTGAAAGTACTAAATGGAAAATTCCAGAAGTAAATAATTAATATGTGTTAAATTGTGCATCATTCTGAGTAGCATAATAAAATCTCACACCTTCCTGCTCCATCCCACCTGGCATGCGAATCATCCCTTTGTCCAGTGATTTGTCCACACTGTACACACTCCCTGCCTATCAGTCACTTAGCGGCCATCTTGATTATCAGATCGACTGTCACAATAACCCTTATATTAGTGTGATGCACACCATCTGGGGGATGGACATGCTTGATGCTCTGATTCAGGTGGGGCAAAGGCATTATATGAAACCTAAACATTTGTCCCCCCCTAATATGCTGAAATAAAAAAATAACCCTTATATTACTTAATAGTGACCCCAAAGCACAAGAATAGTGATGCTATAGTATATTGTTACAATTGTTCTAATTTATTATTAGTTTATTATTGTTAATATCTTACTGTGCCTAATTTATAAATTCAACTTTATCACCAGTCTGTATGTATAGGAAAAAACATAGTACATTTAAGGGTTGGTACTGCTATTCACAGTTTCAGGCATCTACTGGGGATCTTGGACATTCATCTTAGGTCTCCTTTTACAATAGTTTGTCTGTCAACAATATCTACTGAGTCCCTCCTATATGACATGTATTTTTCCAGTGTTGGGATACAGGAGTGAATATGGCAGAGAAAGTCTGTTCTCACTGGAGCTATTATAGCTTGTGTTATTAAGCAGTTCCCCACCTCCCCGCCCAGAGTAGTTTATAAGCTTTTTGACAGCAGGAAATATAGCTGAGTTATCTAAGGTGCCGCCTATGTAGTAAATGTTCAATAAATACTGAATTACTGGATTCTCTCTCTCTCTCTCTCTCTCAGGCCCTTTTTGTGTCATCAGACTATTACCAAGAAAGTGAATGGAATTGCCGACAAACTCTGGACACGGTGCTCAACGAAATTTCTCGAGGAACATTCAGTATTCCAATTGCCGCAGCCCAGATCTTACCTGCTGTGATGGGAAAGACCTACTCGGATGTTAACTCTTGTGTCTCTCTTTCAGGTATAAGTTCTAAAGAGCAAACTGTTTTGCCTTTCACCATAATGCCAAAAGCACGTGAGATTTAGGTGTTCTTACGGACCCAAAGTAACCAGACAAACCTCTGAAACAGTTCCCAGAAAGAACTCAGTTCTCATTATGTCATCAGGAATTACAGCCACCTGAGGATTTTTTCTTAACTGGGTGCTAGATGTTATTCTTGGTTCAAACACTGATAAACAAGGTATACTTGATAAAGTGATGTCTACCTCCAAAGGTATATTTTCTGATTGTCGGGTATAGAGAGATCTGAGCATCCTTCCCAACCTAAACAAAGTATAGAGGATCTGTTTTGTGACTCTGACTTTCCATTATGCACAATGAGTGATGCATCGGGGAAAGAAGACATCTGTGTGGAAGGAATATGGCAATAATCTAAGAAAATCGTAGCATGAGCCATTGATTCAAACAAATTATTTTACAACACATATCTCTGTACATTCCTTGCTCTGCCACTTAAAGTTTTAGGAATCTTGGACAAAATGTTTACTCTAAGCTTCAGTTTTCTAATGTACAAAAATGGTAATGATGACAGTATCTAACATAGGTTTTTTGTGAGGACTGAATGAGATAATCCATGTGCCATGACTAGTACAGTGCCTGACACTTGATGTGTTTTCAGTAAGTGTTAAGAAATAAAAAGGATCAAAAAGGCAAGCATTATTGTATGCTGTAC